TAGCCAATTAAATTTCGCAACGTTTGTCGATCGTTCTGGAACGTCGATCATTAACAGTATTTGGTAATAACCATAAACGGTAATCTCCCTGACTGTATTACGTTGTATTCGAGTTTCATTTCGGTCAATGCTGGATCTTGTCTTCCATAATGCGTTAATACTATATATTAAGGTTTGACAAACGTTCTCATTTATAAAAGTTGTGCCAAACCTAATTCCGAGAAATACATGGGTTTTTCCGAAATGATGTAATAACCACTCGGTTTTGGCGTAAGGAGCTTTTGCAATGTTATTCCATGCCTTGCAGGTTAATGACAAGTTTAACGTTTAGGTAAGCTTTTCTTATTATATATGATATATTTGGTAAACAATTAGAACCGGTGATGGTTTTCATTATTCTAAAAAAGATGACTACCCAATGTTATTCTGTAAAACAATTCTTAGTATTCTTGGATCAAAACATCATTGATTCGTTTTTTCCGGATAATCTCGTTTAATGATCTCTATTTACTGTAAGTATTATTTATGTTGGCACTTTATAGTTTCTCCCGTTTTTGTCGGAAAATTTATAATTGGCTAGAGATGAGGTGACCAACCGAGTACGAAATATGATTACGTTTCTGTTCATATTACGGGTAGATGTTTAGAATTTTTTTTAAAAAGAAAAAGAGCCTTTTATATGTGGTTAGAAAATAATTTCTAATTACGGTTAGGTAATTTACTTTGTAGGATCACCTTTTTAGTCATATTGCATCATGCTTTTGCTCACTCATTTAGTGAGAATATTATCAAGAACAAAAATGTCCCCGAAATTTGAGTCGATACGGTGATTGGTCCTTTCGTTACACGTGCTCCGGACTTAACAATGGTTTCTAACTTGGACGTAAATCGCATCGAGTCAAATCTTTAAAATGAAATCATATCATTTAAAGTAAAGATTTAAGAATTACTTAACATAAAAAAATTTATAAAGTGTTTATTCAAAATTTCTATTTTACACAAACTCTAATTTATTAACCAAATTTAACGTAATGGAACATAATTTTATTAAGAAATGAAAAAAGGAACCAACTGTTGCTGACACGCTCGGCACTCTTTAATGATTGCCTTAAGAGAAGATATTCAAATTCTTCTATCTAAAAACATAAGCGAAAATACTATATTTATACAAAATTCTGGTTTAGAAAGGGAAAGGCGCGGTAACAAATAAAATTTTTGTTATTCCAAGTCATTGTTTCTGATACGTAATATTGAATGAAATATTCAAAGTAAATAATTTTCACGTAAGTCGTGTAAAAATAAATTGATGCTAATTTGCACCAGCATTTGCTTATACTCATGATCGTTAGGATCTTCTAAAAAGTTATGATCGGGATAAGTTTCAACTTGAGAAATGCTAGTCGAACCATTATTAAAACAAGAATCCATAGCATCGACAGTAGAATCCACAATCTTAAGAAATCCATTTGACGAATTTTGCGCATCGATCATAGTCTCAACATCTTTAGTTTTGGTACTATTGGCATAACCCAAATCTGCTGCAAATATTTCACCTGTCGCATGCAAAGGTGTAACCTGCCCGTTTCCTTGGTCATTTTCAACTTCATTCATATGTTTATCAAATATGATTTGAAAAGTGTTTTGTTCATACAAAGATCTAGCTTCCTTAACTAGATTTTTGTAAACATATTTTACGTCTTGTGGTTCTTTATCCCAAGAATTTTTTGCGATTATTGATAACTGACCCATTGAGGTAATTTAATGGTATTCTTATAATATTCCTTTTGTAATTCCATTCTGTAAGCGATAAAAGCGTTTGGGAGCGTTTTAACCTTACTGTTGTTTGATGCGTTGGATTTAATAGCATTCTTAATGAGTTCGTCTGTTGTCAAATTAGGAGGGAATCTCGGCTTAAGAACAATATTGGAACTGGTTTCTATATTCAACATGGAATCGTTATTTGAACCAATAATAAAAGGTTTAATACGTTTATTTTTTGTTTGCTTTAAATTTTTAGGCATAATTTTTGGTTTAATAAACAAAAGCTAATTTTACTTTATGATTTATTGTTAGATTTATTAATTTTTTTAGAAAAAATCTCATTATTTTGTTTTTAAAACCAGTGGTTTTTATATGAAAAAAAAACTAAATACTATATATGGGTAATAGTTGGGTGAGATAATTTTGTGTTACAAAGATCGAAGAATTTTTCGTGGACACAAAGATTGAGATTTGATATTATTGTTGATCACCCACTCATTGTAGAAATCAAATTGTCGATCATTTGAACCAAAAAAAAAAATGTTGTTTATAATAATCGATCACTTTGTATTGTATCATCAAATATAAAAAAAAAAAATAGCAAAAGACATTTATCAGATTACAATGCTGCGGAGTAGGTTGTTAAAAAATTCAGGTTAAACTTTTCCATGAAGTCGAAATTCTTATTATGTGCAATTCCGTTAGATTTAAGAGAATTTTTTTTTCTTTTTACTTTACAAATCAAAAGGTATAAAGACCTATCTCTTATTTTCAAAAAAGCTATTCTAATTTTTTTACTGGTGTACTTTTCAATAAAAATTTTATTTTATTTGCGATTGTTAAAACCAAATACTAATTTTTCCTGGAGAAATTGTGTGTATATAATATAAGTGACATAGAACTCTCATAATATCTTCTCAATAGAACGTAAATAGTAAAAATTATGAGCCATTCACGAACGCGGGCTTTGTTTATGCGGTGGTTCAAAATTGATCTAGTTAAAATGTACCAAGAAGTACATTGCATTGAAGTAACATACAACCTTAGATATTGATAAGTAAACATTCGGAATGCAAAATACTGTAATGTTTACGATCATCCTGTGTAGTACAAAAATATCCTATAATTGCGATCAACTCACAATGTTCTTTAATCCAATATGTAATAAAAATCAACATTATTTGTAATGGGGTTTTCATAATTTCATTTAACCTTTTATGATCAACGTAGACTGCGTCAACTCAATTAAGGTCATTTGCGATTTTGACTATTAAAAATAATAAAAAGATGTCATTTGAGGTCATTTTGCACAAAACTAGCGTCACCTGTCTCACGCGTCTGTATCAAGATATGTTTTTGCGTTCTGCGTAATTTGACTTACGATTTAATACAAGCGAGAAACGAGAAAATTTATGTTAAGTTTGATAGATTAGAAAGCAATTCCAATTGAGATCGTAATGTTGTTGGTGAAGTTTTTAATGGAGATTTATTCATTTATTCATTTGACAAAGGTAGGATTTTGTTTTAAATATTATTTACTGCTTATTTTATCCTATTTACAAAGAACATTCTTTTATAAAATAAAAGAGAGAAATTTATTCTTATTCTTAAATATGGGAGGTATGCTATTAAAATCACGTTACGGATCATATTATTTACTATGTTCGTAACTCGATTTTAATAGCAAACCTCCCATATGTGAGATGTAAATCACTAACGAATTTTTTATATATTAATTTTTTTTTTTTTTTTTTGATTAATAAGACATTTTAAATAGAAAGGTGGGAAACTGAATTAGACAGGCAATTCTTTAAATCAAATAAATAAAAGTTTATGGTAATTTGGAAATTTAGCATTAAATTTTAAGAGGGAAATTCAAAATTTACATAGATCACATCCACACATTTACACGTGATAATATGGGACCTTTGCAATAGAGAAATTACCCTTTCTATTTATCGTCGTCTTAATCTAATTGTATCACTCTATTATAGTTTGTAAATTACGAAAAAATTTTGATGCACAAACTAATTTATTATTAATTATCAAACGCAAGGTTATAAAGATACAATTTATTCATTTTTTTATAAAAAAAATTAATTTGATTGCGTTAGTTCGAAACTAAATCGAAAGTAATAAACCCAAGGCTTGCGTAATTTTAAATTAAGAAATCTGCCAAAAAAAGAAAAAAATATTTTTTTTTCAATAATTAATTATATACATTTAATGATTTCAGATGACCTTATTTTTTGTCTTCTTTTTAAAAGATTTTTCCGATTGACTACAAATTAATTTAACTATTGACAATAAATTATTGTTATTAGTTAAATTGTACATTGGGTATCAAATAAAATATCTATTATATTTCACCATTTAGAACTTACTCTCATTTCTCGTATTACTAATCTAACACTGTTTGTGTTTATCTCCGCATTTTATATCGAATATAAAAGAAAAAAATTTTTGACAAAACAGTTCTGTTAGTAGCTCACATTCCTAAACAAAAACCTCTTTTTACCTACCAAAGTGCAAGCAACTGTTGACTTTACCGAGGTAAAAAAAAGTTCATATGCAAGTCAACAGATACGAAAGTGACGAATTTGATTAAAATACTAATTATATATTAGCTGTTCGATATAACCTATGATATTGCTCTGTAAGGGTCGGGTCGGGTCGGGTCGGGTTTAAGGCATATTCGAACTCGAACCCGTTAATAATTAATTACTGAGCCCGAATTTCGACTCGATCCGATCGTTGTTCGACGGATTCGACTCGAATTTTCAAGGATAATATTAACGTTAATGCCGAAAATAAAATTACATATGACAAAGTTTATTTTATTTTTAAAATTTATTATTATTTTTTTTTTTTGTGGACATTAATCCTAATTCCTTTTTTTTTTACCAGAATTTCAAGCTCATACAGGCAAATTGTATTAGCTTTAAGATCACATCTTTTGGTTGATATCAGATCGGTTTCGCCAGAAAAAACTCGTTCTACTGGAACACTTGTTGCTTTATAAAAAAATGTATTAGTTAATGTTCAATAATTTTTTTTTATTTACTTGTGATTGTTCACTCCGCAATGCTTTTCGTTTTCTAGAAAAATTTGTACTGTAACGTCGATAGGTTTACTTATTATTTATTTGTTACAAATTAAAGTCACGTAACGTAAAACACAAAAAAAGTCTAGCGCGCGCCTAATAATCCGGTCGACCCGGGTTATAACCTATGAATTAATTTCTTTTCATTAAGATCACATCGGGCGAATATCTCCAAAGATTCGGTCATGCTGATAGACGTAAAAGGATTGTTATAATTATGGCTATTAATAATGCTTAGGTCTTTAAAAATTTCTTTTTCTCAAAATAAATAATTTTTACCAATGATATTTGTAACGTATGTATAAGTATATTTGAGATTGATGCTTCTTCTTTTGTCAAACAATGTACAAGATATGAAGCTTATTGTTAGAGTTTCTCTTTTTTTTTTGTCAATATATTACATTTCCTAAAGAAAATTTTGTTACATATTTTTATGAAAAAAATTTTAATGATATAGAATTTTCGATAGTTACACGCATATTGTATTACGTTATCTTTTCATTTTTTTTTTTAGAAAAAAAAAAATAAAATATTAAACGATTATTGAATGAAAATTATTAACTATTTGCCTCATTCATAAAGTTTTATAAGAAACATTGTTTCAAATTTTTTTGGTGATTCAAAGAAAATAAAAAAATTCAATCGGAATTTACCAGGTTAGCCAAAATAGAACTCCGAAAAATTTAAGCACACGTTTTGTGCGACATTTAGCAAAATTTATTTTGATTTAATATGCATAAACTTATTGTAAATTGTAAATAATACAACATATTTCTATCAGAGAAAATGTTTTATTTAGAGTTTTGACAGTAAAAAAAGTTTATGATAATAGAATACTTAAAATATTTCATAAATAATGCCAAATTTCCATTATTCATAAATAAAACGATTAGATTGCAAGATGAGGGACGAAACCTCTTAATAACAGTCGAAACTTAGACGAAACTATATTAAAAGCATAGCAAAGGGATACGAATAAATTATTTTGAGGAGGTTTCGGCAGGCATCTATAATTGCAAGTAAATCGATGATATATAGTCCAAAACTCTTAATGTATTCTTCTCGATCGCTAAAAGCTGAGTTCATTACACATGAATTTAAATCGTAAGAATTAGCTTGTAAGCTGCTAGTTGAATTTTCATAAGTAACTTAGGATATGATTATAAAAGGTTTTGAAGTGAAAAGTAGAATTCTAAGTCGGAGATTCCCATTCGAATTTTGTGTATAGATTACGTCTTCAAGGCTTGAGTATAATTGACGTTTGTATAACAATTATCATGTGATTTACGACAGATATATGCTTATTTGAACGTTGTTTTGCTTATACACAGATTTAACATCCTCAGCCAGCTTATTGTAAATTCTTTGATATCTTGTGATTCTTTCTCCCAAGTTTTTTAGCAATTTTAGAAAGTTGTAAATTAATGTTGTTATTAAGAAATTCTTCAGTTAAGTGACAAAACCGTTTGGAAACATTCTTGCTCTAATTTTGTATGGTGTGTTTGATTTAATGGCATTTTTGATGAGTTCATTTGTGTTAAAGTGGGTTTGATATTAATGGAAAGATTATTAGAGCTGTTGTCTTCAATACTTGTTTCTTTATTCAAGTTGCAAAGTTTGCTGTTTTTTTTTTTGCTTTTTCACTTTTTGGCAACACTACTGAACTGTAATTTTATTATTTTATTTCAAAAAAGAATATGATGAAAAAACAAAGATATAAATATTCTTTATGATATGTCACACTAATTATTCCGTACATATAGCGAACACGTGAACAATACCATCGCATATATTTGATCGAACCTCAATTTTACCAAAACACACATTGGTGGCTTGATTATTTTTTTTTCAGTATTGCATACATTTAATGAAATTTGTTGAAATCACGACTAATTCTTAGTTTCTTTATTGTTTTACACGGAATCAAAAAAAATAAAATGCTGATTTACTGAATTTAGAAACTTTATTAAATTATAAATTGTAAAGAAAAAATGCGGAGAACCTTACATGTATTACGTAAATTTAAGACAAGGCTCATTTTTTTTCAAAAACACGCCCTTGCGTTTTTTCTAACTTATCATTCTTTTTTTGGAAATTTTCCGTGCCTATCCCATCATTTCATAATGAATTCTTTTATAAATTGTGTTACGATATATTAGATAACAAAAATTACTATTGAAGATTTTTTTAAGCTATTTTATAGTATAATTTAAATAAATTATTTTACTATTAACGAAACGAGGATCTGTTGTTTCTTTTTTTTTGTTTGGTTAAGCTATTTATGAGAAAATAATTTTGTTGTAAAGTCTTATTGGTTACAATTATAAATATAGGAGGGCGTCCTAAAAAAAAAAATTGTTATTATTGATTGATTTCTTCGATAATGGCCAATATTAATAAGGGAAATTTAAAATCAACATAATAGATAAAAAGGAAAACTTGGTTTTAGTGAATGTTCGTATTATCACGATTAATTGTTTTAACGCAACTGAAAGATATTGATTGTGGTATATATGTGTTCCATAAAGGCGAGTCGGGTGGATTTCGAGCTCGAACCCGTTAATAATTACAGAACCTGAATTCGACTCGACCCGATCATTGTTCGACTTGGATTAGACTCGAATCTTCAAGGGTAATTTTAAAGCCGAAAATATAACAATTAAAAAATAATGCGTTTTATTTAAATACTGATAATAAAAAGTGTCATAGTAAATTTGAAAAAAATTTTAGTAATTTATTTTTAAAATTTATTTATTGTTATTTAATCCTAATTATATATATTTTTTTATATATCTTTTTCCACCACGATTTTCACATACAGGCGCGAATTGTGTTAGCTTTAGACCATATCTTTGGTTGATATTAGATTGGTTCCGCCAGAAAAATTAGTTCTACTGGAACATTTGTTGCTTCATTATAAAAAATGTATTAATTAATAATCGATTTATTTAGATATTCTCTAGCCATTATGGCTAAATTAAATAAAACTTTCAAAGATATAAAGCAACCTGTCTTTTCCTTGACCAGTTTTCGTTCATTATTAGATTGTCTATAAACATGGAAATTTATTTTTTTTTAAAAAAAAAAAAATTCTCTGCAATTTTTAAATTCTTGACTAGATTAAGCAATGGTAGGTAATAATAATAATAATAAATCTAGCTTTAATGTAAGTGAACTTGAGCCGAGTCGGCTTGAGCAAATTTATATAGTAGGCCTTGAATTAGCTGGCTCGTCATTAGAAATAAATTTTTTTCAAAGGAAAACCTACATTAATCTTTTTTTTGTATGACTTGCTATCATCAATTTAAGTTTATTGTAAATCTTGAACAAAATTTCAGGATAAACCTTATAATATAACATTGGCGCTTTAATAATGAAACAATTTTATAGAAAGAAATCCAAAATTTCCTTAGAGAAATTAGCTTATATGGATTACGGAAGTATTGTTGTATTCAGATCTGTTTTGATAAACAGTTTTGTAAAAATGACGCTGAATTTATTGAATAATATCAAATTATTCTTTTGGCAATGTCAATATATTAAACTAAACAATAAACTTAACTAATTAAAACTGCGAAGAAATCGGAAATTAAAAAAAATAACGAAGTTACAAATACTAGATTTAAAATGTTAAAACGGCGAAAGAGAAATATCGCGAAGGGTAAAGGAAGGTTATGTATGCAAAATATAATAAGGGCGAGCGTGGAATGGTGAGTGTTTAAGGATTTCCGGCTTGTATATATAAAAAAAAATAATTATTAGGCCAGAATGGCATTCTGACCTTGACAACCTGGAAAATGATCTTCAAAGGACTAACTGCAAATATCGAAAGCGATTTACATACGACATTATGGAGTTTTTCAGGCGAAATTATATTGAATATAACAGACAGTATCATGTGTTGTATAATTTATTTCACTTATAAAATAATTAACAAAATATGGGAGGTCTTCTAATTTTATATCAATGGCAAGAAAATTTCACCTCTTTTATTAATAACAAACAAATACATAATTATATTTAATATGACATTGAACGTAACCATTATAATAAATCGCTGAGCAAAATTTTTGTCAAGCTGAAATTTCAGAAATGAAATAATTTTGAAGGTTTATGATTTGAAAGGCAATATAAAATTTGACATGGATATTATGTCGTAAGTTTAATACATATAAATATATGAATGTAATTTAATTTTAAATTTAAAAAGTAAAATTAATTTTGTGTCGATTCAATTAAATCATATAAATTGTTGATCAATTGTTCCAACAAATTAATATGCCTTTGATAACTAGCGATTAAATTCCTTTCGTTATAATTAGGATTAGCAATAGAACTCGTACCAGAAGAATTCGTAACGCAAACGGTAGAATTCTCAAGAGAAAGAGCTCCTGTATGGTTGAAATAATATTCTGAATCACCCGTAGTAATCTGACTGTCGCTCATGTGTCTATCAAATACGAGTTGAATAGTTTTGTTTTTCATGTAAAGGGATTTTGCATCCTTAGCTAGTTTAATGTAAAAATCTTTTACATTTTCTGTTTCCTTATCCCAAGATTGCTTTGTAATTTTGGAAAATTGGCCCATAGGTGGTAACTTAATATTATTTTTATGATATTCTTTAATTAACGCCATTCTGTACGCGATAAAAGCGTTTGGAAGTGTTTTAACCTTACTAGAAGTGTTGGATTTAATAGCATTCTTAATAAGTTCGTCCGTTGTTAAAGAAGGAGGGAATTTCGGCTTGAGTTCAGAAAGAACAATATTGGAACTGCTAATATTAGTTTCTATATTCAACACGGAATTGTTTTCTACGTTATTTGAACCAATAATAAAAGGTTTAATACGTTTATTTTTTGTTTGCTTTAATTTTTTAGGCATTTTTTTTTTTTTGGTTTAATGAACAAAAGGAAAATTTAATGTATGATTTGATTTATTGTTAGGTAGGTTTATTAATTTAAAAAAATCTCATTCTTTTGTTTTTAAAATCTGTATATATAAAAAAAAAAGAACGAACAAGATCTTCGAGATACTACTTAATATGGTTAGTTTGTTAAAATTGCATCTACCAAAGAGTATAGCCCTTATTAGACTAAAAATCACTTGACAGAACAGAATTAATTTGATCGGAAAAGTAACCATTATTTCTTAATATGGTAAACCTATTATGTGAACTTCAAAAATGATCTTTCCTATAATTGAAATAACAAGATCTTCGAAATACTTATGGTTAGAAAGGTTGTTTCTTTTGATGTTATTCACAATTCGAATCACTGCTTGATATGGTTAGAACAAATCCATCAACAAATTATTATTTTTTTTTTTTTAACGCCAAATGACAACATATAAAAATAATTTATCGGGTTATATCATTTTGCGAGAGTAAATTTCTAAAATATTCAGGTTATTTAAAATTAAACTTTTTCATAAAATCGATGGAATTCTAGATTTAAGAGAATTTTTCTTTTATTTCTTTTTTATTTACAAATCAAACCTATAACTTATTTTTCACAAAAGTTATTCTAATTTTATTAATAGTAGTTAATCGATGATGCATTTCAGAACCTTCATATTATTTACGATCGTTAAAACAAAATACTAAATTTTCCTGAAAGTATAAATTCATTATTATCTATCAGAAATAAGGTTTGTCACTAATATAATCGTATAAGTTATCAATAATCGTCATCAGGACCACAACCCGGTGATAAATAATACGTAAAAAAAGTTTTCACATCATGTGAAAAAAACAAGTCCAAAAAATAAAAGTGATTTATGCTTCGCTGCCTGGCGTGACGTAATTAATAGTGCAGATCTAACCCATATAGGTTAACCTGGCACAGATTTCAGACTCTGTGATATTTAATATTCAGTAAATTTATTCCCCCATTTATAATAATATCCATCCGTTAGAAATTATGTGTATATAATAAGTGACGAACCAATGTCATATGATGATGAAACGTTAGAACTCTCTTAATACCTTCTCCAATAGTAAAAATTAAAGACGTGGCCTTTGTTGATTTGGTGGTCAAAATTTACCAGTTACAAAATACCAAGGAGTACAATGCGTTTATTGTGTTGTATAAAAGTAACAAATCCTTTGGATCATGATAAGAAATTTTAAGTAAACGTTCGGAATGCAATATATAATTCAAATAATGTTTACTTGATCACCCTGTATAGGAAAAAAAAGGTGCCGCCGAATATATTATGCAAAAAAAATTCGACGAATTCGCAGCATTCTTTAATCAAATAAGCTTTCTCCCTCATCTATAACAAAATCAACTTTTGTTTATAATTTTATTTTGATGTGGGATTTACATTTTGCATCAACTGTCTCACGCGTCTGTATCAAGATTTTTTTTTGCGTTCTATATAATTTGACTATACAAGTTAATATGTAAATATATGGCAGGTTTGTTAGATTAAAAAAGCATTTTTAATTGAAATCGTAATGGCGTTGGTGGGAAGTTTTTAAGGAGATTTCTTCATTTATTTGTTTTAAATATTATTACTGTTTAGAGCCTACCTATTTACAGTATATCTAATTGAAAGGGAACATTTTTTTATAAAATAAACTAGGGAACGGGACCGTTGTTAAGTCCGGAACTATCTTAAAAAAAAAATTGCAAAAGCCAATCAGCATCGACTCAATTAATCAAATTGGCTAAAACATATATGGAAAGTTTGCTAGGAAAATCAGGCTCGGGGAATTTTTTTGATAAAAACAAAAACTAAAAATGCAAAATTTTGTTAAAAAATTCCCAGAGCCTGACTTTCCTAGCAAACTTCCCATAGTCCTTCACTTCGTTCCGGACTAACAAGAAAGATATTGGAATTCTAAATTTTTGAAATATATTGATATATAAATCACTAAAAAATTTATTTTATTTTTATTTTTTTTTAATTAAATAAGACTTTTTAAAATTAATGGAAATTTGGCAATTTAGCATTAAAGTTTTTAAACGGTGATTCAAAATTCACAGATCTTTTCCACGTGATAATGAGACCGTTGCAATATGCAAACGTTACTTCATGTGGCTGGTATAAGAAATTCGGCAAGATATTTAAGAAATCGGCAAAATATGTCCCATCCAATATTCTCGATTGAAAGGTTACAATCGGAATAATCTACAATAGGAAGATACGAATTCTGCGTATAGATTATATCCTCAACGGGAACCTCAATGCCTTCGCCTTGGGAATAATTTGGATATATGTCATTCGCGTTACTCCTCGATTTTACGTTCTATAAAACTGTAATTCTAGAATTTGATTACTTCTTACCACAGAAAGTGGCCGGAGGATGAACAATGCAAACCGAACGGAATCGTTCAAATTTTATGTAATAATTTTTTGCAAATTTCATAGTGAAACAATTTTATTGGCGTAAATAAAATTTACTACTGTTCATTTGTTAAATAATTAAATACATTTACGCTTCTCGATAGATTAAATTTTTTAATATAACAACCTTGTTCATAATTATTACACTTTTTCTTCAACAGATAGACCTTTTACGATAAATAATAAATTTTTAATTTGAATTTATATATTTTTTAAATTTTAATTAACTTCTCATCAATTTTTACGTTTAAGTTTCATTTTTAAATACCTTTTTTTTTTTTAAAAAAAAAAAAAAAAAAAGGAAAGAGAAAGATTCATGAAACGAAAATAATCAAATTTTTTTTATAAATTTTGTATCTTCATTTTGAAAAGTCTTTACGTTTTTGAATCCATAAGAGATAATTTAATACTTTTATTACTAAACTTCTTAATTTCATGCACAGATATAAAATTCTCAAATAATTTTTGCTGTGCTGTTCATTCTCGGGGGGTTGTACAAAGAAACAAAGCTATGCATAAGTTTAATTGGTGATTTGGTGATAAATGAATATGTACTACCAAATTAATATCTGTACTACTATCTAAAAGTTAGGTGTTTTTATTGACAAAATTTGTGTCATAATACTTCACTTACAGCATTAAACTAATTTATCTTAGATTTTACATATATTAACTAGGGCCTGAATCCACTCCACCATTATTTTACAATAATATAAACAACGGGAAAAATCATGGTTACGGCCCGAAGCAATCGAACCAAAAAGTAAAAAAAAAACAAAAATTAAAAAACATACATAACTATGCGGCATGAAGCGATCCAACCCAGGAGAAATCGCCTAAAATAAGGAAAAAAAGACGAGACAACAATTCGAAGTTAAAAGTAATTCAATTTGTTATCTCTTTATTCTCGATCTAACCAGATTCAGGTTAAGGAATATTTTTTAAAAAAATGTTTTTGTTTATATAATCAAAAAAAAAAGATATAAATGAACCTTCATTCGTATATGTTCATGTTCTATGCTATAAGAATTTAGGAAATGTCTAAGTCTCATCTAACAACTGAACTAATCCAATTATAAGTATAAGCAACAGAAACAAGCTTTTTATTTCCATGCTAATTTAAAGTCATTTGAAAATAATTTATTTTATACGGTTCGAAAAAGTTAAGGACAAGCATGGATTCATGCTATTAGAATCTCTATAGGAGAAGAATTCACACGCTGATAGTAGAATTTTCATTCGGATAATATACACTTGATGAATTTGTATGCAGTATGGAAGAAGGGATATCAGTATACACTTGTCGCACTTGAAACTTGTCCGCTTGATTCTTTCATATCAAATACGATTTGAATTGTATTCCAGTTAGCTCAACATAAAGTCTTTTTACGTTTTGTGATTATTCATTCCAAATTTTTTGAAAATTTAGATATTTACCCAACTGAAGGTAATTTGATTTTTATTAAGATATTCATTTATTGAAATTATTCTGACCGCGTTATAAGCGGCGTTTGGAAGTATTTTACCTTGCTGGATTTAAAAGCGATCAAATTTTTGATTTTGATTGGCCCAGAACTTTGGCTCTTTTTGTGCAACACAACCCAATTTTTTAGTGTGAAAAGTTTCGAAATCTATAAAGGTAAATGAAATTTTAAAAATTTATTTCGCGAGTTCTTTTAAAAATAAATAAAAAGCACAAATATTCAATTTTCAATCTAAACTGTAATGGTTAATTTCGGGTGATATAAAAGCCCATCTGACGAATCATTTTCAACAAATTTAATTAGATTTACGTAGTTTTTTTCCCGGGTTATCAGAGAATTACTTCACAGTCATATGATTACCCGTGAAGTTTAGTATAATTATTCGGTTCAGATAATTAAACTTTCGTTGTTGCAAATTATTTGACGGCCAAGTATAATTATCATATTGGCCGTATAATTGTTGAGAATTTTATTTGCTTTTAATAATCTTGACGGTTTGCTATAAAATCACATTACGGACCATATTCGTAACTAACCAATTCCTGAATGTGGAAATCCATATGTTCATATGTTACTGATTATTCACGTGTACGTTGGTTATCTGAGCGTAAAAAGAAAAAAGTAAATAAAGTTGGTCAAAAAAAAAAAAATTGAAAGTATTGTACAACTTTGGAAAAGGCGCATTTGTAAACTTATTCTGTAAAGGGTTGCTCTAAAATCTTTACATAATTTGTAATAATTCAAAAGAGTTCTTTTGTAACATAATCAAAGGTATTGATAAAATACTTTGTGCGGAAGTAGTTACACGGCATTGCCTAATTCGATTCATAAATGTTGGATAACATCGCAGCATTTTATCGCATTTATTTTCCATCTAGATAATCTAATAACAGTGATACAAAACTAATTTTTGATGCACCTAATGATGTGGGCGGTATGAATGCGGAAATTTCTATACATTTGTGTTTGTAAACATTTTTGCTTGTGATTTGTGTGCTACGAAAAAAAAAAAAAAATAATTATTAAGTAAGATATGGCGATAGCTATAGACTGTTTTTCATATAGAGATTACCAAATTGTTATAGCAATATATTAATCTCATCAAATCATGATAAATCTTTTCTTTGTTAAAATTATAAACAAATTATTCGTGATTTGTCGACCAATAAAAAAATACAAGCACTGACACAGAAAGAAAGCATAAAATTGTTGGCTTCAATTGTTTATACAACAAAACATTAATTTTTTGAAATCATTAATAATTTTAATAAAAATTTTATTTATGGAAGTAACTATTAAAAAATTGCCATTTACGGAATTATTGATTGCTACAATACATGCCGTATTCCGTATCATCTATTAGAAATAAAAAATGATTATTCTAGAAAGCAAATCGAATTAGGCAATGGCTATAAGTTTCAGAATCGCGTGTAACAAGTATGATATCATAAAAATCTTTGAACAAATTTAGATTTCCCCCTTTTATTTTTTTCCTTTATTTTGTAGATGGATTGAATCAATGAGACATTATACAAACTACACTAAGAATAGTTTTTTTTTTTTACGTTCAGCTATTGTAGTACCTAGGGTCACAACTAGGGTTGGACACCTGCGAGTCAACTATTGTGGTAGGTTAGCTACCTAGGTTGTCTTGACTCTCTTTCCAGTAGTTGTGGTACTCTTTTTGTAAAGTTGGATAATTTACTCGGTGAGGGTTTTCGGCTTCTCCAATTATGACATCTGACACGCGAGGTCACACGGGTTGAGGCTTGGCGTTAGTCGTATCAGTAATAATTTTTTTTTTTTAAAAAAAATATTTTGCATCTTAAGGTAGGTAGTATTATATAAATATAGTAATTATCTACTTGCTCCAATCACTCGTTGCATATTTTATGATTCAAATTTCGGAGAACAAAATTATTTAAATGTGGTTATTACATAATATTACAGCAATCTTCTAATGATGATTTTCTTAGCATTCAAATGTGAGTTATGCCATTTTAAAAAAAAAAAATTCAGAATGTCCAAATGTCAAATAACTTGTTTTAAGAATGTTAATCTGCCAATTCTAGTTATTTCTTTCTTATTTCTAATTTTGCTTGGGTGAAACATATTTTTATTACACTTTTACTTTTTTGATACCGTCAGACATTGTAAGAAATGTGTTTCAATTAAAATAAAAGTTTTACATTACAATCAACCTAAATTCGATACCATAATAAGACATTGGCATGATTATACTTTCTACACATAAAATGCACTGATGAACAAAAATTTCGTAGTCAATGTGGGAGATTTTCTATTACGAACATTGTAAATCATATGATCCGTAACGTGATTTTAATAGCAAACCTCCCATATATCGAATAATTCTTTTTTTAAAAAAAAATGATTTTTTTTTGATATGGAAAGTTCCCTTTAATAATATCACAGTAAATCATTTTTTATTTAAAGTATTATTGGCTTCTTGTTTTTCTCACCTTCTGATAATTTCTGAACCAATTGTTTTGTTTTTGGTGTTTTCAAATTTAGAAATCTATGGGTGGATTTCATTTTACTATTAATGAGTGTTTAGATGTATTTATATTAAAAGTTCCCTTCAATTAGGGTATTATAAACTTTTGTTATTGATTCGTGTAACACATACTAATAAATAATTATTGATATTTACTGCACTGCCAAATTATATACAGTTCTCGAAAAAAGTAATCGGAATTACAAAAATGTAATAAATAAAAAATTAGTGATTGAAATTACTTTAAATTTTAAAGATTTGTTGATAAATATATAAATATT